TTTTACTAAGTAATAGTACTACAAATTAAATAACTAAGTAAACTAACTAAATTAGTTTAGTTACTTAATTAAGTTAATTATATAGTTTACTATATATATATATATATATATATATATATATATATTTTTTTTCATTGATCTTTCAGCCATATCTAACTAACATTACAGAAGTTGCAATGACATGACTGTATCTAATAGTATAAAACTGGCCTTTACAAAGTGACCTGTCTTTGGTTTGTTCTAGTGGATCAGTATTTTGTAAAATACAGTCACGTTTCAGTTATAATACATTACATATGCATATATATTATTACTATTTATAAATAAGTTCTTAAATTTCGGTTATTTTTCTTAAAACTTAGAACAGTAAATATAGAAAACAATTATAATTTTTATTTACAAACTTTGTACTCATTTGCCCCCTGCCATAATTTGCTAAGCCTTGTCAAATTTCGCATGTGGAGGATGTAAAACAAAATCATTTTTTTAGGTTTTATACATTCATTTTGAAATAACCAATTATTATAAATTACTCTATCAATATTGTAGAATTCCACTGTAATTTATCAGGCTTACTAACTAAACTGTATTTGAGTAAAAAATAATAATGTTTTTTCGGACAACACTTTCACTTACCACATTCCTCTGCTATTCAAGATAAAGAAATAATCTAGGGAACTTCCCACCTTCTAGAGACTGAGAAAACCACCAGGGGGACATTCTGAGCTTTTGATTGGTTATCCACATGTCATAGACAGAAGTAAGAAGCAAGTATTTCCAAAAATGGAAAGAGGTGGGCAGGGCCACTGTGTTTGATTCACTAAATCTAGTGATATCTCATAAAATAGAAAAAATAAAGAGTTCTTAGTTTATATTCTAGCTTGTCAATATCGGTAATTTAAGTTTCTAATTTCTAAGAAACTATTGACTTAATATTTGGACATCACAAACATCTAATTTGAACCAAAGTTGTATTCAACATACCAGTTGATACAGAAAAATTAATATTTAGAATTATGTTTTAATATTTACTTTTAAATTAAGAAATTAACTAATGTATAATATTGAAATTTGAATTATAATCTCCAATTTGATACCAAACTTATTGGCATCCATTCATAAAATAGTAGATCAATAAAATTTTGAATGTAAGTCTACAAACGTTAGGATATGCCCTTTGATCCCTGTCCATAGGAAGACCCGTAGTGAGAAATAACATTTAATTTAACAAAAGCTGTTTACTACCTTAAACATTGATTAAATATGTGAATCTTCTTTTTCATTAGAAAAAATAGTTATAAAAATTTGTGTACATCTTAAACTGCTGTATGTCCCTTCTTTCAATCTAAGATTCTCTTTATAATACACTAAAAATCCAATGTTATCTTTCTTTCTGGAGTTCACATAAACTTAAAAACTTGTGCAAGAAGATTTTCAGAGTTGCTCTAAACCACAACTTATGGCCTATTTATATTCTCTTATCTATTGTGATAAACCTTGGCATCTTCATTTTACCAACAAGTTTATTTTCTTATAAGGAGGATATTTTTTATTGATGAATCATTTATTGTCCATACAGTCTGTTTGGAAATAAGTTCTCATCTTAAGCCTGAGAATTTGGATGGTATAAATGTTTTTTATCATGTTCGATTGAATTGGTAGGAACTTCACACTGTGCATTTACATTGTCTTTCTCATAACATGCAGTTTCTGAAGGTTTCCTTATTAGCTAAAAATCTGTTCTCGTTATAAACACGAAATGTATAAATGTCATGATTATTATTACTCAATTGCTCTTGCACAACCTTGTAATTATATTATCATTATTACAAAAAAACAAGGTTTATAATGCATCTTTGCTTACCAGTTCTGTGGTGTATATTAAATGAAAAAAACAATTACAGCCAACAATACTGATAGCAGCGAGGGTACCCAACTAATGAATCAATATTTTTATTGCTAGTTTTTGTCTTATGTCATTGCACATGACTAGTTAGTCTGGTATAATAAATTAGCTATATCATATAATAAATTGGTTTTTAGTTCTGATCTGTGTAGGTAGCTTCTCTGATCAAACGTTATTGAAAGTCCACTATATCAGTAGTTCTCAAATGTTTCAGGCTTGCATATCATTTTTTGTTTAATTTTTTAAAATTATGAACCCAGTCCTAATTTTAAAAAAAAGATAAAAACCTAGTAACAAAAATACACTTATCCATTAATGCGAGGGATATGATTGTTTTTTCTGGCACGATTGAAGAATACGTGGTACAGTTTTTGCCAATTTGAAGGGAAGAAAATACTGGTGAATCTATAAATGAGGAGAGTAGTATTTTTATGTATACGGAAAGCTCGGATAGGTGTGATTTTTTTTTTTATATTAATTGTGTTGTGTACCACTGACATTAGATCCACGTAACATCAGTGGTACGTGTACCACAGTTTGAGAATTTCTGCCGTATAGTTTCCAGACATTTTTCAGCTTTATGTTAAAGATGCACAATCTATTTCTGTAAACATAAGTTTTCACTACAATAATTATGTTTCTGTTACCAGCATAACTAATCTTCAAAACATTACAGTAGACATCAGCCTTCCTTTTGTTTTGAAATATCAACCTTAACCTTCAACATTTTGACCAATTTCTGTTATGTCACAACTGTAGAAAGCATTCTGCTAATTTGTAATAAAGAAAGCCACCATTTTTTTTTCCTTGTCATAGTGGAAGGCTCAGAACCTAAATATTTTTTGATCCTCATTTTAGCTAAAATATCAATAGTACAGGGTGATTATAAAGAAAGTTTCACAGTTCAACATGTTATATCTGATAAATGGTATGGTACAGGTAAAATTTCACGAGTGTTTTCAGGCACTTGTACAGTTGCAAATGCACAGTTGTCACATGTTGCTACCAGGGGTGCCATATTTCCCAGGGTATAAATGGGCCTGTTTGTCACGGTGCAGCTCATGAAACTGATAAATTTGCAGAGGTGAACTATTAAAATATTATTACACCACAGGATGCAATGCTGAGACAACTCTCAGGGAATACCTTAGAGTTCATGATGTCTGCAGAGAGTCTTTTTTTTCATTGTTGCTGTATGCAAGTTTTAGAAGACAGGTTGCACTTGTGATGAGTCACATACAGGCAGACCATCAGCACCTACTGAAACTATAGCTGAGGTCAGCCATGACACACCAGAAGGCGGCACAAGCGTGCATGGTTGAAGTAGTGCATGTTATGTTGCCTGGTGTCGAGATCTGCGAATTTCAACTGTTTTTAAGGCTCTTTGGTGAACTTTGCAAATGTTTCTTTACAAGTTGAATCGTGTTCAGGAACTGAAGGAGATGAATTTAACACATCGATTTTGCATTGGTGTTCTTGGTCTGCTAATATCTTAGGGACTGATGAAGCACACTTCACCTCTTACGGAAGTGTCAACATGTGCAGCTGCATTATCTGATCAAAAATTAACCCACATGTAACACTTCTACACACACATACATGATGCTAAAGTAACAGTCTGGTGTGGTTTCACAGCTGATTTTGTTTATTAGACTGAACCTTCTTCTTCTTCTTTTTTTTTGAAGAATCATCAACCCATTGACTGCAAACCTACGCAGTCAATGTTTCAGTACCAAGCAATACTAACAACCGGTGTGATTCCCAAATATGATTGACACTGTTTTTTGTGCAGTGTGGTTCTCTCTCTGCATATCTGTAACTAGTGAAACGTATCTTGTGGGAGCACTTTCAAGACAAAATCATTTCACATCACTTTCCTTGTAAATAGCCACTTCATTCATGTACCATGAAGCCTCACAGAATCATAGACAACAAGAACGTTTGGGAAGTGGCCAGCATACCAGATGAAATGCACATTATTGCTTTAACATCTATTGTCACATGAATACAACCATTCTGGATGCTGGAGAAGTACATCTTGAAAAGCTGCTGTGATTGATCAAACACTCTATCATAATAGATCCCCTGGTGGCAAGACAACATCAAACATTCTATCATAGTAGATCCCCTGGTGGCAAGGCAACATCTACAAAATACTCTGAGCAGTCCTGTGCAATCTTACCTTCTTGTATCATACCGTTTGTGAGATGTGACACTGAACTGCAAAATTTTCCTTGTAATCATCTTATATATATGCTAATAGTAACCAAAGCCACAATTTACAATAACCCATCATCAAAACTTTTAGTATTAGGAGCTAAATAAAACTGCATTGTAATAATGTGACTGAGATGTGTGTCATATAAACTTGTCAGCTTAACATTATGCTGATAATAATGATACTATGTTACAGTCTGTGTTAAATAGTTTTTGTTATCTTTGTTGTAGTATATTTCTTTCACATTGAGGTTGTTTTTAATGAACAGTACTGGTGTGAGACAAAAGCTAAACATGAATGCTTTGCATAGGATTTTGTTGAATAATACTTTTTTCTTTCATGTGCATATAGTAATCAAATTATTTCTCTTTTATAGTTATTTTCAGTTTGTTTGCCAATGAAGCAGGAACACATGTTGTCAAAGAAGACTTGGTTAAAATGGTTCAAGCTTGTGATGGAGGTTTTGTCTCGGAAGCAGTTGCAAATTGTTTTGTTGAAGTAAGAAGTAATGCTTTTGTACATATATATCTATATATTCTCAGTTTTTATTTAAAGCTTTAAGTTGAGAATCATCAGTTAAACTGTTTAATAGTATTAAATATTAGGATAACAGTAATCTCAGGTAACTTAAACATGAGTTTTTTTTGTCATAAAGTAAATCCATTGTAAACAGTATTTAAAAGAAGAGGGATATTATCTGTACTTTTCAGAATGAAAAGGTAACCTTCGAAGAATTCCAAGTTTGGTTATTGCATAATGCAGATGCTTCCACTCTAACTCAGTGGCTGATGTGTAAACCAGACCCACTAAACTTGTCCAATAATTATGAAACCCCCACATTTTACCAGACGTTGGCAGGAGTCACTCACCGTAAGTAGACTTGCACCGCGGAATTGAGTTTATGTTGAAAATAGAAGAGCTTTTCTGCTAACTGGTATTGAATCATGTTATTATAACACATTTTAAAATATATTTTAATCAAATAAATAGACATTCATTTGAAAGATAAAATGTTATACCTAGACTGAAACTTTAATCCATAAATTGCAGATAAAGCTGAGTCTGTGCCTTATTGGTTTAGTCACATGGAAGTCAAATCTTACTTAAAAAAACTACATTTCTTGTTGTCTCTTTTCAAAATGGCTTACTTTTGAACAGGTGGACTCGGCACATATTTAGTTATAATGTAACTGAGATTGAAAAATTATTTTAGCATTGTCTGGACCAGTTAGCACCTTTGAGGTGCACATCTGCATATCAAATTTCAAAATTAATTTTTAATTCAAAAATATTTTAGAATTGATATCTTCTCACCATATGATATTTATTTAGTTTAATTTGTAAAGAAAATATTTCAACTCGTATTTTTGTGCAGCTCTGCCTAAGAAAATATAATAATTTATGTCTTATTTTTCACATGTTTCTTCTTTGTGTGTAGTCTTATTTTGTACAGCCCTTTGTTGTCACCCTATAATTATGTTATTATATATAGTTTAGGCAATAAGTAATGAAACTCAACTTTGAAAATAGCTAGAGCCAATAGCTAAAAATGACTTGAGTAAATAAAGTGATTTAAGCATAACCTATGGTTTCTCGAGAATATGACATACCAGAGCTCCTGTAGGGGAAAACAAGTGATTCTAATGAGAAGTTTGCACAAACCATGGATTCTGGGAATTTCTTTTGTAGTTCTTTAGATGTATTTTCATTCATGAAAATGAATTTCTGTTAAATTATAGATTTCTTCCCTAACAAGTCATCAGGTAAACAAAGGTTTAGTGAGCATAGTAGCAAAGTGTTACTATGACCCAAAATCCTTATTTACTGAATACTATATTAAGTTTATGGTATTTAAACAATTCATACTAATATAAGAACTTATTGTTTATTGAAAACAAACTACATTTATTAGATATTAATTTATCTCGGCCAAGCATGCTGTTAGCAATACTCACAATACCTAGCCTGACAAAGAAAACAGTGAAGCCATTTGAAAGTTAAGCTCCTAGATCAATAACAAATCTTTGTTAGTTTTTGTCATGGTTCTTATGATTTATAGCCAGAAGTAGTGGCTACTTCATTTGGCAAAATAAAGTATGAAAACAAAAAAGTTAATGACTATCAATCCACTTGAAACTCACTGGCTATATAAAATGGCAAGAGTTCCATATGGCA